GTTACAGGGGTGGGCGGATGAGAACAGGATGGGTTTCAACACTGACAATTACAAGGTGCTACACCTGGGGAGGAAGAGCCAGCAGCATACCTACAGGCTGGGGAACTCCCTTCTTGTCAGTGCAGAGGCAGAAAAGGATCTTGGAATCATTATTGATGCCAAAATGAACATGGGCCGACCAGTGTGGGGACGCGGTCAGGAAGGCCAACCGCACCTTGCCATACATCCACAGATGCATCTCAGGCAGGTCCAAGGAGGTGATCCTCCCCCTGTATGCGGCACTGGTCAGGCCGCAGTTGGAGTACTGCGGCCAGTTCTGGGTGCCGCACTTCAGGAGGGATGTGGACAGCATTGAGAGGGTCCAGAGGAGGGCCACCCACATGATCAGGGGGCAGCAGGGCAGGTCCTATGAGGAGAGGCTAAGGGACCTGAACCTGTTCAGGCTGCACAAGAGAAGGCTGAGGGGGGGATCTAATGGCCTGTTACAAACTAGTCAGAGGGGACCAGCAGGCATTGGGGGAGTCCCTGTTCCCCTGAGCACTCCCAGGAGTGACTAGAAATAATGGTCACAAGCTGACAGAGAGTAGATTTAGACTAGACATCAGGAGGCGCTACTTCACAGTCAGGGCGGCTAGGATCTGGAACCAACTTCCAAGAGAAGTGGTGCTGGCTCCTACCCTGGGGGTGTTTTAGAGGTGACTAGATGAACACCTTGCTGGGGTCATTTGACCTCAGTGCTCTTTCCTACCATGGCAGGGGATCGGACTTGATGATCTGTCAAGGTCCCTTCTGACCCTACAAACTATGAAACTATGAATCAGGAGAGGTCCCAGATGATTGAAAAAGGGTAAACATAGTGCTCATATTTAAGAAAGGGAAAAAGGAGGATCCAGGGAACTACAGTCCAGTCAGCCTCACCTCAGTCCCTGGAAAAATCATGGAGCAGATTCTCAAGGAATCCATTACTAAGCCCTTGGAGGAGAAAAAGGTGATTAGGAACTGGTCACCAAGGGCAAGTCATGCCTGACCAACCTGATTACCTTCTATGATGAGATGACTGACTCTGTGGATGTGGGGAGACCAGTGGATGGGGTGTCCCTTGAAAATTTTAGCAAGACTTTCAGTACAGTCTCCCACAACATTCTCCCAGGCAAGCTAAGGAAGTACAGGCTGGATGAATGGATTGTAAGGTGGATAGAAAACTGGCTGGAGCATTGGGCTCAGAGGGTAGTAATCAATGGCTTGATGTCTAGTTGGCAGCTGCTATCAAGTAGAGTGCCCCAGGGGTTGGTGCTGGGGCTGGTTTTGTTCAATATCTTCATCAACGACCTGGAAGATGGCATAGAGTGCACTCTCAGCAAATTTGCAGATGACACCAAGCTGCAGGGGGTAGTAGATATGCTGGAGGGTAGGGCTAGGATTCAGAGGGACTTAGACAAATCGCAAGATTGGGCCAAAAGAAATCCCATGAGGTTCAACAAGGACAAGTGCAAAGACCTGCATTTAGAATGGAACAATCCCATGCACCGATATAGGCTAGGGGCTGACTGGCTGGGCAGCAGCTCTGCGGAAAAGGGCCTGGGGTTTACAGTGGACAATAGGAAAAAAAGGGGGAGGGGTTGCGCTCTATGTCAATGAGCAATATACGTCAACCCTCATCAAGACGGAATCAAAGGATGAGGAAGTAGAAGGATTGTGGGTTAGGCTACATGGGGGGCAAGGAGAAAGGGATTTGGTGGTAGGGGTCTGCTATAGACCCCCACACCAAGGGGAAGAAATAGATTCGGGGCTCCTGAGGCAGCTCTCGGAGACCATAAAAGCTAAAGAGGCGGTAGTTATGGGGGACCTAAACTACCCAGACATCTGCTGGGAG